AAGGGCTTAGACAATTGACTTTTAAAGCAATTATTGATATAGTGGGTTAGTATCTTCCACATTCATTATTGTTTTCTACTTGTTGCCCTTATGCTTTGTTTCTGTTTTCGTCTACCACTCTTTCTGCCTTTTGTGGTTTGAAGTTGAGCATTTTATGATTACATTTTCTCTCTTTTCTTAGCATATCAGTTATAGATGTATAGATGTATTTTTTACATTTTTAGCGGTTGCCTTAGAATTGGTATCATATACTTACTACATCAATTTCAAATAACACTGTACTACTTCACAGGTAGTGTGAGTACCTTCTAATAGAATAATCCTAATTCTTCCTTCCTGTCGTGTCATTTCTGTCAATCATTACAAACACACACGCATGCATAGCAATATTTCAAACTATTTTTTGTTAGATCAATTCAGTATAAGAAAAAAGTTTTGTTTTTTTACCTTAACTTATTCTTTCTTTGATGCTTTCTTTATGTAGATCTGTTTGTTTTTTTACCTACATTTTTCTCTGTAAAGTTCTTCTGTTAACATTTGTTGCGTGGCAGGTCTGCTGGCACAAGTTCCCTCAATTTTAGATTGTCTGAGAAAGTCTTATTTCTCCTTCAGTTTGAAGGGTAGTTTCATAAGGTATAGAATTCAAAGTTGGTGGGGGGTTTTTCTCTCAACACTTTAAATACTTTATTCTCCTTGCTTACATGATTTCTGCAGAGAAGTCAGATGTAATTCTTTGCTTCTCTGTAGATAGAGTGTGTTTTCTTTTGGGATTTTTTTCTTTATCTTTGATTCACTTTGAGAATGTTATATCTAGGTGTAGCTTTCCTGGTTTTGTAGGTGTGTTTTGTTTGGTTTTTTTGGTCATATATCCTGCTAGGTGTTCTTTGAAATTCCTGGATTGGTATTTTGGTGTCTGACATTAATTTGGGGAAGTTCTTCATTATTGTTTTCTTTTCAAATAGTTCTGTTTCTTCTCTTTTTGGTATTTCTGTTGCTAATGTATTAATATCTTGTCCTAAAGTCCTTTGATATTTTGGTCTGGGTTTTTTTTTTTTTCCTTTTTCCTTTTTAGTTTCGGAGGTTTCTGTTGAGCTGTCTTGAAGCTAAAGATTCTTGCCTTGGCCATGTGCAGTCTACTAAAGAGCGTATCAAAGCATTCTTCATTTCTTTTACACTGTTTATGATCTCTAGTATTTCTTTTTTCATTCTTTCTTAGGATTTTCATTTCTCTGCTTACATTGTGTTTGTGTTCTTGCATGCTGTTCACTTCATCCATTAGAGCCCTTAGCATATTAATCAGTTATTTTAAATTTCTTGTCTGGTAATTCCAACATTCCTGCCATATCTGGTTTTATGCTTCCTCTGTCTCTTGAGATAATTGTTTTGCTTTGTAGTATGCTGTGTTGTGGAGCCTGTAGTTGGTGTTTTGTATTAAAAATATGCAGATTATGACCTCTTGAACGAGTAGGCACATGCCACCCACATGGGGTAGGCAGGTAGCTTTCGCAGCATCAGAGCTCCCACTTTGGGGAATTGAAAACCTCCGGGGTCATTTTAATTGAAGGCGCAGTTTTAATACACTCACACAAAGGAAGTAAAATCACAAGAGTTATTACTTACAAATCTCAGAAGCCTGAGTAGGGTGCATTGAGCTGGGGGAAGGACAGGTCATGAGCAGAAGATAGAGAGCAGGTTAGCACTTATTACTTATAAGGTGTTGATGTGGAGGTTGCTGACTTTTCACAGGCTCAACTCTAAGTGCTTAGTTTCAAAGATGCCCTAGAAGAAACAAAGAGGGAAATTCTGGCAGGAATCCTAAACTCAGGGCCTTATCTAACTGTCTATACTCTGGGTGTAAGCAGGATTGTCATACTGTAAAATGCCTAGGCAGCAATTCAAAATAGCTGTTTTCTCATCACAATTGACCCTGTGATGCCTAGGCATTAGTCCTTTGGGAAAATCAAGGGCACTGTCTAGATGGCAGAGATATTAACAGCCACTGGCAGGGTTTTGGTCACCTAAACCCTGGGAACATTTGAGTAAAGCAAAAATGCCAATCAAGAACATCAATAGATAAATGATAGTTTGAAATTCTGTTCGTAACCATCCCCTCATTTGTTGGGGTGCAGCCAAGAAAATAAATCAAAGCCCATGGATAAGGTTAAGGTAGGTATTTTTTTGTTGTTATTGTGAATCCTCACCTGAGGATATTTTTCCATTTAGTTTTAGAGAGAGTGGGAGGGAGGGAGAAGGGGAGAGAGAGAGAAACATCAATGTGAGTGACACATTGATTGATTGCCTCCTGCACGCACCCTGACTTGGGGCAGGGATCAAACCTGCAACCCAGGTATGTGCCCTTGACCAGGAATAGAACCATTAATCTTTGTCAGGAACCAGCCTGAGAAACGAACAAACCTGAGTTCGAGTGGTGGGAATGAAAGAGACAGACAAAGTTATGGGATCAGGAGAACTGCCCTCTGGCAAGGACCAGCCCCAAATGGCTTCAATGCCTTTATTGTATAGTAAGTGACAAACAATTGGTAATGAGGTGAGTGTGATACAAAGTAGTTCCTTCAAGGCTGCATAAACACTCTTTGAGAGTAAACTGCCTTCTGGGTGAGTCCAGACCTTGATTTTCCTTATCTCTGATAGCAAACCTCCTCAAGGGTAATAGTGGGGAGGGTTGAGTCCTTGACTGCAGACCCTCAGGCGACGTGGACCATGTCCAGACACTTCACTGGCTACCAACAAATCTTGTCTCTATTTTTATAATTTTGGCATTGCAAGAATGTCATATAAATGAAATCTTGTAGTATGTAACCCTTTGGTATTGGCATTTTTCACTGAGCATAATTTTCTGGGTAATATTTGAGTTGTTGAGTGTATCAATAGTCTGTTCCTTGTTATTACTGTGTAGTGTTCCATGGTATGGATGTAACAGTTTGTTTAAATATGCACCTATTGAATGACATCTTGTTTGTTTTCCAGTTTGGGGCTGTTACAAATAAAACTGCTATAAACATGTGCAGGTTTTTGGTGAATGTAAGTCTTTGTTTTTGTGAGGTAAATTCCCAGAAGTGCTGTTGCTTGGTCATATGGTAGTTGTATGTTTAGTTTTTTGAGAAACTGCCACACCATTTTCTAGGGTGGTTGTACCATTTTACATTCCCACCAGTAATGTGTGAATGAGTCCATTACTCCTCACCTGCATTTTGTATTTTCTCTATTTTTTTATTTTAGCCATTCTGATAGGTTTGTAGTGATATCTCATTGTGGTTTTAATTTGAGTTTTCTTTATTATTCTGATGTTGAACATCTTTTCATGCTTGTATGTTGGATATAAGTCTTCTATTGGATATAGATTTGCAAATATTTTCCATTTGGTAGCTGGGAAGGATTGGGGCACCTCATTACTGCTGAGTGAAAATGGAAGTCTGGTCTTCCTATGTGGTTTCCACTGACACCACAGGGAGGAGTAGCTTCGTACCAGCCAGCAGGGGTAAAAATAAGTCCTAGGCTCTTACTTAGTCATTTCTAATACCATAATCTTGGCTTGAGGGTGCTTCATTATAGTTTTGCAAGGGTAGAAGTCTATGCTCCTCACTTAGACTTTCGCCACATTTTTTTTCTGTAGTGGTTGGCTGAAATAGATCAGTTTTTGTCTAAAAGTTTTGTCTTTTTTTAATTCTTACTCAAGGATATGTGTGTTTTTTATTTATTTGAGAGAGAGAGAGAAGCATCGATCTGTTGTCTCCCATTATGTGCCCCAACCAGGGACTGAACCCACAACCTTTTTTGTGTACGGGACAACACTCAGCCAACTGAGCCACTAGCCAGGGCAAAATTTTCTGTCTTGTTAGACTTCACCTTTACTGGGGCTAATGAGAGTAGGTTTTTTGTTAGAGTGTTTGTCTGTGCCCTTCGTTCCTGGGTTGCTGGCTTCTTCAGATCCAAATCTGGGATATATGAGGTAAAAAGAAAACCCAGGGTTCTCACTACCATGTCATTCCTCAGGCCCCAATGTCCCGCCAGTCTGCTGCCTTTTCTACATTTTTCAGATTCTTCTTAAGTTTGTTTTATGTATAATGTTCAGGATTTATAGCTGGACTTAGCAGGTAGAATAGGGCAAAGCTCATCTCCACTATGTCAGAAGTGGCAGCATATTTTAAAATATTTTTATATGAAACCAGATGTGGCTATATCATCAAGTAGAGTGCCAAGTTATGACTTTATAGGTAAAACACAGAAATCTCAAAGAAAATTTATATTTATGGTAGTATTAGGCACTAATCTTAACCAGGAAGGAAGTATTAGTTCTTTTTCCTATTCTAAGTGGTAAAATATTAGGATGTAGGCTAAGCTTCTGTAACAAAGAAACCCAAAAATACAATAGCTCAAATATGGTAGAATTTTATTTTTCTTTTATGTGATAGTCCAGGGTAGGAGCAGGAGCAAGCTCCTTGAGGTTATCCAAGGACCTAAGCTGGGTGGGCAGCTGAGCCATCCTTTTACATGGCTTCCAAGGTTGTTTTAGACATCACCTATTTCAATTGGCAATAGTAATGGTGATAGTAGTGATGGTGGTAGTAGGTCGAACTTAGAGGTCAAGAACTTGATTTTTTAAGGACAGGAAGCAGATTTTGTCCTTAAATGCTTTTGCTCCATTGGCCTAAACCTAGTCATATGGTCACACCTGGCTTCAAAAGAAACTGGAAGTGTATGCAGCTTGGTGGCCCTGTGACCAGACAATGCTGGGGTATGGGACTGCTGTTACTAAAAGAAAAAAGGTGAGAATACTGGAGGACAACAGTATTTGCTTTTGTTACTTCAATGAAAAATTTTTAGAAGAAATTAACTGCGTGGTTGTAGTTATCATGGGCCATTTTATTCTATAGTTGGCTGTCTTGTGTTCTTTCCTGTTTTATTGTAAAACATCAACAAAGTGATTTTTGTATAACTATTTGGACTACTTCAAGTAAGGCCTTGTTTATATTTTCTAGGGTTTACAGAGTCCACGAGGAATAGGATGCAAGCCAGAAGCTGTGTGTAGTCATATTATTATTGAGAGCCATGAAAAAGGATGTTTCAGGACCCTAACTGCTAAACAGCCACAGTTGGACAGCCATCCCTGTGTCTTCAGATCAGCTGAACCCTTAGAAATCATTAGAGGACAACGGAGACCATCACCATGGAAAACCAGGCACATCAACCTTTCTAAATCACTAGACCAGAGCAACACCCATTTCAAAGTTTGGAATTCTTTGCAGTTACAAAGTCATTCCCCAATTCAAAACTTTTCAGCTGATGACTTCAAAATTAGCAAGGGTTTTCAAATGCCATTCCGTGAAAATATGAACCCTTGGCTGTCAGAATTAGTAGAACCTACTTGTGTGCCACCTGAAGAAATGGATTGTCATTCTTCACCACAAAGGCTGTCCCCAGAATCCATGAAAAAGTTTACTACCTCCATCACTTTTTCATCTCACCGACATTCTAAATGCTTTTCAGATTCCTCTGTTCTTAAGGTTGGTGTTACTGAAGATAGCCAGTGTACTGGAGCATCTGTAGGGGTATTTAATTCTCATTTCACTGAAGAGCAAAGTCCTCTTAGAGATCTAAGACAGGAAACCTCTTCCCCTTCATCATTTAAAATCATTAGTCATTCACCAGATAAAGCTGTGACTATTTTAGCAGAAAGTAGTAGACAAGGCGAAAAATTATCTGTTGAACATTCCCACCGAGAAGAGAAACCCTTAGAAAGATCAGATTTTAAAGGCAGTAATTCTGAGCCCAGTACCAGTACACATTGTAGCAAATTCAAGGAAGTTAATTTATCTGATAATCATAACCTTATTAACTTGGGCAGAGCAAGTTCCACACTAGGAGTAAAAGAGAAGAATGTAACTGTAACTCCAAATCCTCCGCCCATGTTTCTTGAACAACAAGAGCTCTTTGAACAGAATAAAGTCCCACATGCAGATCAATATGTAAGAAAACATCATTCTCCCCCTCCTCAACATCAGCATTATGTAGCTCCAAATCTTCCTTGTCACATTTTTCTTGAAAAACGAGAAATCTTTGAACAAAACCAAACCCCACAGGTAGATCATCAGATGAGAGAAAACCACTTTCCCCTCCCTCAAGGTCAGGATTATGTAGTGTCAGACCTTCCTTCTTCCATTTTTCTTGAACAGCGTCAGCTGTTTGAACAAAGCAAAGCCCCAGATGTAGATCACCTCGTGAGAAAACAATATTCCCCCCTTCCTCAAGGTCAGGATTCTGTAGTAGAAAACAATCAACATAAACCTAAATCACACATTTCTAATATAAATGTTGAAACTAAATTCAATAATGTGGTCTCCAAATTAGCCCCAGATCAATATACATTAGTAACATCTCCATCTACTCCACCTTCAAATAGAAAAGCACTTTCTTGTGTTCGTATAACTCTTTCTCCCAAGACTCCCTCCAAGTTGGATAGTGGAACCTTAGATAAAAGATTTCTTTCATTGGATCCGGCTTCTAAAACAAGGATGAATAGTGAGTTTAACTCTGACCTACAAACTATATCTTCAAGATCAGTGGAACCAACCTCCAAATTACTGACCAGTAAACCTGTAGCACATGATCAAGGTTCTCTAGGACCTAAATCTTCACCGGACTTTCAAGTCATACAGTCTCTTCCAGATAGTAATACTATTACTCAGGACTTGAAAACCATACCTTTTCAGAATAGCCAGATAGTAACCTCAAGGCAAACACAAGTGAACTTTTCAGATTTGGAAGAATATTCCAATCCAGAAGGGACTCCAATATCTGCAGATCGGTGAGTCTCGTGATGACAAGCAAGCTGATGGAATTTGTCATAAAGGGTTTTAAATATTTAAGCAAATGTAGGTTTCTGGGGGGAAAGCAGTATGATTCTCTTAGGGGAGATTTTATCTGACTCACCTGCTAGAAGTCTTTCAAGAGATAAATATCAAATTAAGAGAGAACATCTGAAAGTAATGTGTTTATACTTTCAAAGGGCTTTTAACAAGACTTGGCTTCAAGTATTTAAAACATTGAATTACTTTGAGAAGAATCTTTGTTCATGCAGTTGGCACAGGTTACCAATTCCTTATTTATTGTGTTGAAATGCTCAAGACCAGGCTTTGGGAGGGGATGCATGCACATGCTCACTCTCCTGCACATGCTCTCTCTCCTTTCTCCCTCTCTTTTTGTTTCCATTTTATGATTCCTCTCAAATATTTAGTATTTACAATGTAAAAAGGTAACTTTCCAGTAGAGAATTCTGGCAGACATCACTTCAGCCAAGTAATCAAGGTTAACATCACCAGTAATGCATATCAACATAATGTGCTCCCTGATGTGGTGTCCTACTTCACAATGTATTATAGGAAAGGAAAACCAGTTCAGGGATAAATGCATTAGATTTATATTATTCAGCCTAGTTTTAAGACTGTCATTAATTCAATTTTACATTAGTCTCTTATAGGAGACTCATAACATTCTGTAATGGCTAAACAGAACTACCCTGTGCATTTAATGTTTCCAGTTTATAGTTGAGAAGGCAGCATATCATTAGTGGAGAGCACTGATCTTGGAAAGGAGGAAGGGGGAAAAATGTGTTTTCAACATCCATATGTGGTATTCTTGGCAATGAGGGACTTATCTCATTTAATACTCATGATAATCCTATGAGGTAGGTGGTGGTATCCATATTTACCCTCCGGGAAACTGAGACATAGACTTGCTACTTTGTCAGCAAACAGCATTGTCTCATAATGCTGTTTGTAAGCAGCAGATAGGGCATTCAGATACAGTCTGTTTAATTAAAACAAGAGTTTGTTCATGACATGATACCCACTTCCAGCTCTTCTACCAACTATCTTCTTGGACATGTCCTTTGGCACTCATATGTGGATGGTGGTAGAAGGGCAAGGGTTAGAAATCTTAAATGTTCCTTGTAGCTCTAAAAGTTAGTGATTGAGAATTGAATTGGGGTAAAACAAACAAGGTGAATGTCTAGTTTCAATGTTATAAATAGTAGGATGTTGTAGAAATCAATATTGATTTTTTTTTTTGAAAAATGTTTAGAAATGAGGAGATTGACAAGTTTATATACAATACTTAAACTCATCAAAATGATAAAATGCCTGGTTATTGTAGCTGAGTTTCTTGGGTGAGAAAATTATGTGTGATTATAAATATGAACTAATAGTAATGCCATTTGTCCAGAATGTACTAAATGCCAGGCATTGTAGTGGTTACCTATATTATTTTTTTGTTCAGTATAATCAGAGATAGATAGTATTACTTCAATTTATAGATTTTAAAAGCCTAATAGTTACAGAAATTAAATGTTTTGCCTCAGATCACATGATCATTAAGTGTTGGAGGTGTCATTTGAACCATGGTGTGTCTGACTCCGGAGTTCATAAATAATTCAAACTGTATATACACATAACACATTTATTTGTGCGTATATACAGTTATCCACCACATAACAATATTTAGGTCAGTGATGGATCGCATATATGACAACGGTCCCATAAGATTATAATGGAGCTGAAAAATTTTTATTGCCTAATGACATCTATGACTCGAAAGGATTTGCCAAAGTTGAATAGGTTGCAAAAATCAACAAGGTTGTGGTTGAGATGACAAACAGCTGTAACTTGGGTGGGTGAGGATGACGATGGAGAGCTCCTAGGGCGGCTCCTGAGGAACTGGAACAGGAATGCATAGCAGAAGGAGAGGCAAGAGAAAAAGAAGAGGAACACCCGAGAAAATTCAGTGAAGGGTTTAGTAGAAGCTTTTGCAGACATCAACAAGCTCCTTAAAATTTTTTAAAAACATGAACCCCAACACTGAAGGGTTTTCATTAATAGAGAGGAATGTTCATGGTGCATTATCTACTTACAAGTAAATCTATGATAAAAAAGAAACAACCAAGCAAACCACCATGGACATGTTTCTGAAAAGAGTGACACCTCAAGAAGGGCCTCAGGCAGGTCCTTAAAGAGTTGTTCCAGAGGAAGGCCTCATTATCATAGGAGATGACAGCTCCATGTGTGTTACTGCCCCCGAAGACCTTCCAGTGGGACAAGATGTAAAGATGGAAGACAATAATATTGATGATTCTGACCCTGTGTGGACCTAGGCTAATATGTGTGTTTGTGTCTTAGTTTTTGACAAAAAAGGTTTAAAAAGTAAAAAATATTTCAAAATTTTTAAATAGAATAAGGATATGAAGAAAAATATTTTTGTACAGCTGTACAGTGTGTTTTTTAAGCTGTGTTATTACAAAAGAATCAAATTTTAAAATAAAAAGTTTGTAAAATAAAAAAGTTACAGTAAGCTACAGTTAATTTATTGAAGAAAAAAGGTGGTTTTTAAAATAAATTTAGTGTAGTTTAAGTATACAGTAGTATACTTAAGTATAAAGTCTACAGTAGTGTTCAGTAATATTCTAGGCCTTCACATTCACTCACTGGCTCACCCAGAGCTAATTCTAGTCCTACAAGCTTCATTCATAGTAAGTGCCCTGTACAGGTATACTATTTAAAATCTTTTACACCATATTTTCACTGTACCTTTTCTATATTTAGATATGTTTAGACACACAGATACTTAGCATTTTGGTATAGTTGCCTACAGTATTAAATATAGTAACATACTATACAGGCTTATAGCCCAGGAGCAATAAGCTGTACCATAGAGTGTAGGTGTGTATTAGGCTTTACCACCTAGGCTTGTGTAAGTGCATTCTTTGATATTCATACGACGATGAAATTGCCTACAGATGCATTTCTCAGAATGTATTTTCATCGTGAAGCAAGGCATGATTTTGTGTGTTTGTATATACACAATGTGCAAGTATTAAATATTTTTAAACTTTTATTTTGAGATAATATTCAACTTAAAGAGGAGTTACAAAAAATAGTAGAGTTTCTGTATTATCTATTGATGTGTAACATATTACCCTGAAATATAGCAGCTTAAAACAATGAATATTATCCCAAAGTTTCTGTGGGTCTAAAATCCAGACATGGCTTAGCTGGGTGCTTCTGGCTCAGGGTCCTTCACAAGGTTGCAAGCAAGGTATTGGCTATAGCTGTGGTCTCATCTCAGCTGTGCTTGACTGAGAGGATATGCTTCCAAGCTTGCTTATGTGGCTGTTAGCTAGAGACATCAGTCCATAAAACATTCACGAAAACTAAGAAATTATCCTTCATATAAAATTATAACTAAAGTAGAGATTGATTTGGATTTCACTTCGTTTTTCCACAAATGAACCTTCTCTGTTTCAGATCCAATCTAAGATCCCACCTTGTATTTTAGTTGTCATCTCCTTAGTCTCCTCCAATCTGTGGCAGTTTCTCAGTCTTTCCTTGTTTTTTATGACCATGACACTTTGAAGAGAATTGATTAGTTATTTTGGTGAAAGTCTTTCCATTAGACTGTTTGATGTCTTAAGATTAGATTAAGGTTAGGCATTTTTAATGCATCTCATCAGGGAGCACATCATATTAATACGCATTCCTGGTGACATTAACCTTGATCACTTGGCTAAAGTGGTGTCTGTCAGTATTCTCCACTGTTCTACATATTTGTAAATTCCCAAATGACATTATCATTGCTTTTTTATTCCATTATATGTGAAATGTAGAATAACATACATATATATAACGTTGTGTGTATGTATGTGTGCATATGTGCATGTATATGCTACACATTATTAAGTGCTCTTCATTATTTTTGGCAATTCTGTACTTTGTTGGATCATTTTACTTCAACCTAAAAAAATTTATTTTGGTATTTCCTGAGGTCTGCTGGAGATCAGTGCTCTTCTTTTATTTATTTGTATTTTATTTTTCAAATAGATTCCAATTTTCTGTTGAGATTTCTTTATGTTTTTATCTATTATCCTCATCTTTTGTTCTCTTAATATATTAATAATTATTTTAAAGTCCTTCTGTGCTAATTTCAGTATCTGAATCTCCTGTAAATCAACTTTTCTCTTTTTTTCCTCTCAATTTTCACTTTCTTCTGCTTCACAGATTTTATAATTTTTGCTTGTATGCTAAACATTGTGAATTAAAAAAATCATAGAGAATGAAAATGTTATTACTTTGCAACAGAGAAGATTTTCCCTTTTCTCTGTTAATCACTTCAGGAATTTTACTAGATCAGAGCTGGGTTGGATCTTTAGTTGACTCATTCTGCCTATGATTGTTAATGATTTGTTTGGATTTTTGCTTTAGGGCGACAAGTCTTTGATTCTTCAATAATTAAATATAGTGAGATACACAGTTCAGTCTTTCAGATATTTGAATTCAGCTCTTTAGACTCTCAACTTTAAAATGTGGCAACTGTAAAGGGAAACCAGCTATATATTTTTGTGGTTACATTTTCTCAGTGGCAATTTGTCTCATAAGCACTCAGAAGATTACAAGTGATTTCACTGTTTTCTTACTCAGCCCCCTTCTTGAGGGTGGCACCCTGGTGTGTTTTTTTATTGCTAGTCTTGTAGGTCGAAATTCCTTACCTTGAAAGTTCTCCCCCTCAAGCATTAGTTATTTAGCTTCCTGCCTTATCCAGGTTCAAAATCTGGCAAATGTGAAAAGGAGGCCTGATGTTTATCATAGGCCCCTCTATCTAGTGGGACTTGGTTTGTTAGTAGTGCCATGACTGTGCAGGAGATTTCACTCTGCTTTTATGGCTCAGTTACCCATCCTCCAATACTTCCCTAACACTAAGGAAATGTCCTGTGGGGAAAATCAGTTTGGCATTCTGCTAGATTTCACTCTATTATGCCAGCCCATGGGTTCATCAAAAACTCTGATGATTTCTCCTATCCAGTGGAGTATATCTACCTAGACCAAGCCCCTGCCCATAATTTCTAAGATGCTTCTCTAGCATAATAGTTGATATTGTTCCCTGATTGTTCCCATAGCTCTCTGATTTTTCTAGTATGATTTTTATAATTTATTCAACTTGTTACAGCAGGAATGATGGCCTGTGGCTACCTACATCTTACCTGAAAGCGGATCCTATTTTAGATCACCTTTAATTTCTCTCTGATATATTAATAGTATTTTACTTAGAGTGCTTATATCTTTTATTATACTTATTATTAGGTATTTTATGTTTTTGATAATAGTACATGTGATGTATTTTTTAGCTTTCAATTTTTAAACTTCTGATACTGAAAAGTAGTGTATTTTTAAAAATTTGGTTTCATATCTGGCAGCGTTTCTAAAACCTCATATTCTAATAACTTATCTATAGATTGTTTTGGATTTTCTATCAAAATTATATCAAATATGAAAAGTGATGGTATTATTTCTTCCTTTCTTATCCTAATATCTCTTCTTTTTCCTGTTTTAACTGCTGACACCATTTAAGACTACTAAAATGTTCAATAGAAATGGTAAGAGTGGGCATCCTTATTTTGTTCCTAATCTCACAAAGAACATTCTCCACATTTCACAGTAAGTAGGGTAGATCCTCTAAAAGTTTTTTGTAGTTTCCCTTTGCCACAAATTTTTATCACACCTGGTTATTAAATGTTATCAAATACTTTATCTGACCTAATCAATATGATCATATGCATCTTCTTATTTTATTGGTGGGGTGAGTCACATTGATTTTTGAATAATAATTCACTTTGCATTCCTGGGGTAAACCTTGGTAGGAATTTGTGCACACGTGCACACACACATTTGGTTTTGTAATATTTCGTTTAGGATTTTTGCTTCTATATTTGTAAGAGTCATTGGCCTGTTTCTTTTCTCATGATTGTTTTTTTCAATTAGTAAGTAGTAGGCAGAAGGTAGAAATTCAAAAATTCTTTTGGTCTTGTGATATATTATAGATACTCATTCAATATAATACAATTACTCCATTTTTTAAAAGTAAACTTTATTTTTTGAGTAATTTTAGATTTACAGAAAAGATATAAATAAATATAATAGAGTTTCCTGTACTCTCCAAGTTTTTTCTGTTGTTAACATCTTACATTAACATAGTATGTTTGTCAAAATTGAGAAGCCTACATTTGTACATTACTGTTAACTAAACTCCAGACTATTTGAATTTCACCTGTTTTTCCATTAATGACCTTTTTTTGTTCTTGGACCCAATCCAGTATATCACTCTCAGTTTAGTTTGTTGTCATGTACCTTAGCCTCCTCTGGTCTATGATAGTTCCTCATTGCTTGCTTGAGGAATACTAGTCAGATATTTTGTTGAATGTCCCTCAATCTGGGTTTGGCTGGTGCTTTTCTCATGATTAGACTAGGGTTATGGGGTTTTGGCAAAGAATACCACAGAAGTGAAACACCCTTCTCATCACATCATACCAGAGAGCATGTGACATTCACATGACATCACTGGTGATGTGTACCTTTATCATTTGGATAAATAACATAGTGTTTGCCAGGTTTCTCCATAGTAAAGTTACTATTTCTCCCTTTTTATATTCTATTCTTTGGAATCCTGTCACTAAGTTCCATCTGTACTCAAGGGGAGGAGAGATTAAGCTTCACCTCCTTGGGCTGGGGTGGGTGATGGTGGTATCTGCATATTATTTGAAATTCTTCTGTAAGCAACATTTGTCTTTTATCTCCTATTTGTTTATTCAGTCATTTATTTACTCTGTTTTAATATGAGTTCTCTATAATCTTAATACATGATTACAACATTGAAAATTTCTGGTTCCCCCATTAACATATAAACTCCTTGAGGGAAGGCTTTGTTTCTTGTTTATCTTTGTATACTCTCTGTATTTAGTACAGTCCCCTAATTTATAGTGGACCTCCAGTAATTTAAAAAAAAAAAAAAAAATGGTTGAATGTGTTTTCACTTGAACTGAAAAGAACTCTTTCCTCAGCTAAATTATGTAATAGCATTCCAAATTAAAANTTGAGGGAAGGCTTTGTTTCTTGTTTATCTTTGTATACTCTCTGTATTTAGTAGATTTTAAAACAAAAGTAAACTCATGCATGATTGCATTGTAGTAAGTATCTAAGAAAGCGAAGGTCATTACAGAAATAACCATTTGGTGTGTCTACACAAAACATTCCTTGAAACTACTGAAATATTCCTTGAAGCCACTTTTGGAAAGATATTATGGTATTTTATAAGACAAGAATGTGACCTGCTATGTGTCCTTTCTCTTATTTGTTCAGATCACTGAAGGAGATTAAGCCCCTATTTTCTGCCTTCTCTGAAAAATTATCATCTGATGCAGTCACTCAGATTACAACAGAGAGTCCAGGAAAAACTATGTTTTCATCTGAGATTTTTATTAATGCTAAAGATCTTGGACGTGAAATTCCAGAACCCAGTTCCCAGAAGCTGGGTAAAGCTCCTGTCAAGTATGCTTCATTGTCTTCAGTCCAACAGATTACTGTTCCTCGTGACACAAATGAAGGTAAGAGAATGTGATTGCATTTTAGGTCCGATTCCTACTTTTATGTGTAATTATCTTAGAAATTTGTGATTGTGTTTTTCTAGTCAGAAAACCTAATTTTACTTGTAAGCATTAGGAGCCACATGATTATATCCAATTTTTATTTACATAGCTATAAAGAGAATGATTTATTATGTTTTTACCTTAATTTCTAGTGGAGTTAACATATATGGAACTCATGCTGCTTGTGGTTAACATATTTTTAACTCATGCTACTTGTACTAAGAATGCAAATAATTCATAAAAACTTAAAAACTACAGAGGTCTGATTTTAGATGGGCAGGTGAATTATTGGCATTTTTTCTTATAGTAAATGTTATATACCATAATAAGTAGATACAAATATATGTAATAGTGTAAATAAAATATCATAAAACAGTGACCAGCGACCCAGGTTGGCTGTAGCCCTGCTGTCTTTGAAACATGGAACTTGTGATTACCTCGAATTCAGTATCACAGTCAACTGGAAGGGACAGAAACCATGAAAGAGTGCATGTGGGAAGTTTTTATGGGCTAGGCCTGAAGTGGTCCAAATTACCTTTTATAGGCTAAGAATAGTTTAGCTGTGTTTTCCATGGTGAAGAGATGGATTTTGGTGAGCAGCTAGCCATCTGTACCATAAGGTCTACATTCAGAGTGCTACGCTATTATTGTGACAGTGATATTTCAACAGTGCTTATACTGTATAACATTCAAAATCAGAGTAAGTTATTTTCTTTTTATAACAGGAAAATTAACCATTAAGTTTCCATTCTTCTCCCATATGAGAATGGAAACTTTAGATTACTAATTTTAAAGTATTTAATAGTTTACACAAATCTATTTAAAATTTTTCTACTTATGCAAAAAGTTTATCCATCTGTAGATACAGAAAGGATATGCCTAAATGTATATAAAAAGATTGCTTGGTTCAGCATTTAAATTGTATTGAATTGAATTTAAATAAGTACATTTATTTAAGATGGTTATACTTCTTGTGCATTTTTATTGTGAAATAAAAGGAAACTCCCAAATTGTACAGTTTAATAAATATTACAAAGAACACCTTTATGTGTCAGTTACCTATTGCCACAGTGATACTACTGTGTAACAACAGTCTCAAAAATCTCAGTGCTTTATAACAACAAACATTTGCTTATCTCACTCACTGGTTTGTTTGTGTGTCAGTTGGAGTGTGGCTACAGGCAGCAGAAATGATTTGATTCTGTTCCACTTGCCTTGTTTTGAAACCCAGGCAATGGGACAATAGCTACCCTACAGTATGTTGTTCTCATGGTGGTGTTAGAAGCACAAAAGGGGAAACCCAACTGTAAAAGTGTGTTTTAAACCACTGTTCATATCAAATGGATTAATCTATATAGAGGCCACAATTTAGGGTTTTTACCTTACATACAGGCACCTGGGAAAAAGGACTCCTTTATTTTTTACTTTATTTTAGTTAATTAATTAATTAATTTACTATTGATTTCAGAGAGAGGAATAGAAAGGGAGAGATAGAAACATCAGTGATGAGAGACAATAATTAATTGGCTGCCTCCTGCATGCCCCCTACTGGGGATCGAGGCCGCAACCCGGGCATGTGCCCTGACCTAGAATTAAGCCGTCATTTCCTGGTTCATAGGTCGGCGCTCAACCACTGGACCACACCAGTAGAGCAGAAAGGATTCCGTCAAAGTATTAATATTATTTGGTTTAAATATTTTTAATACTATGAATTTAAAAGTAAAATTGTTATGATTTTTTTTTTTTTTGGTGTGAAAACTTTTTTTTTTAAATCCTCACCGGAGGATATTTTTTCCATTGCTTTTCAGAGAGAGCGGAAGGGGGGAGAGAGAGAGAGTGAAACATCAATGTGAGAGAGACACATTGACTGGTGCCTCCCTCACACACCCTAATCGGGACTGGGGATCGAGCCTGCGGCTGAGGTACATGCTCTTGACCAGAATCAAACCCAGGACCCTTCAGTCTATGGGCCAACGCTCTAACCACTGAGCAAACAAGCTAGGGCAGTGTGAAAACATTTTATTTTATTTTTTTAAAATATGTCCTTATTGATTTTAGAGAGAGAAAAGGAGAAGGGGAGAGAGAGAGAAACATCAAGATGAGAGAGTCATTGATTGTCTGTCTCCTATTGGGGATCGAGCCCACAACTCAGGCATGTGCCCTGACCGGTAATAGAACCTTGATCTCCTGGATCATAGGTCAATGCTCAACCCATTAGCCATGCCAGTCGGGCTGTGTGAAAACATTTTAAAGTACAAAGAATAGTATGCTCAACACATGATTATGCCCACTAATTTGAAATTAATAAATTCAGAATAATTTACTATATGTTTATATTTGGTTCTATTTTTAAATTTTTTGAAGAAATTTATAGTTGAATTTTCTTTAATCCTTGCTAGTTTTTTCTTTCCCAAAAGCAACCATTATTTGCTGTGTAGTCACTTCTTCCTCTATAGACAGGCAGTACAAAGTAACCTGAAGACTATTTCATCCAAACATAAATTTGATGAAAATTTTAAAAAGCCACTTATCTTCCTCAGAATTCTCCATATCATAACCACTCTTGATCTGGGTCCATTGTAATTCTTTCTGCCCAATTGTTGTTATTCATTTTCCACAACCTTTTTAAAATATATATGTATGTTTTTTTATTGATTTCAGAGAGAGGAAGGGAGAAGGAGTTAGAAATATCAGTGATGAGAGAGTGTCATTGGTCGGCTGCCTCCTGCATGCCCCCTACTAGGGATTGAGCCCAAAACCTGGCCATTTGCCCCAACTGGGAATTGAACCGTGATTTCCTGGTTCATGGGTGGACACTGAACCACTTAGCCACACACAGGCCAGGCGCAAACTTTTAAATAAATGGTAAATTTAACCATCACTGTCAAGCTTTGTGTACACTGGTAAAAGAACAAAATTAATAAAAAATCAGTATTCTAGCAATAATGATTATAGCAATGTCCAAATAAAAGTGAAGGCTATAGCTTATTTTTCTGTTGTTTAAATTCTTCCCTCTACAAAAGTTTTATTTCTTTTAACTTTAGCCAGGTTCTCGTTGGCTAGGATTTTTTGGGATTTGTGTGTGTGTTGTGTTTTTGTCATAGGTTTTATTTTTGCTTTTCTGGGTTTTGTTTTTTGCCTGATAGAATGGTATAAGTATTCCTAAACAGTCTGAGACTTTACTAGGCCTGCATCCTGCCCCAATTTCTCCAGTACTCCTAGTCTCCCTCATCATTTTCTAATTATTTTCTTCATGTCACTTATAATTTATTAAAATACTAGATAATTTACTTATTTTTGTATGTTGCTTATTTACCGTATATCTCCTTTCTCTTAAGGCAGAGGTACTTTTCTTTGTAGTTCACTGATATATCCCCAAAATCTTGAACACTGCCTGGCACTTGAAGGCACTCAGTATTTGTTCATTGAAATAGTAAATGTTTTCTTATTAATTGTTCTGATATTTATCTCCTTAGCTCAGCCTTCATTGTTGCCGTATAAGCCTTCTGGTAGTACGAAGATGTACTATGTTCCACAACTTAGTCATTTTCCTTCATCTCTGGATTCCACATCAGACACCACCATTGAGAGCTCACACTCAGGTATTATACAGAATTATTTAAAATTTTACCTTTTGAAATTTTATTTGTGGATTAGCTGGTTAATTATGAAATGACATAAAATTTCAGTGCTATTTAATGTTTCAGTGAAATAATGGAGCTTTTCATGCCTTAATCTTTGGTTCAGATAGGTGAGTTATTTGGTCATATATATTATGTATACTTAAACATTTAATAAATATTTGATGAAGAAAATTGCATGGACAATTGTTTGGGTTAGTAGACTCTGTCTAGGTCAGAGTTTTCCAAGTTTGCTCGCAGAGCCCTTAATGCTTCAGCGATTTTTTTCCCTCATTATGTGGAACGCATATAATTATAAGAAGCATTTTTTCAAATAGCTAGTAAGTTATTAGGACACAAATACTTGTTTTGATCTAATAAAACAACTTAATTAAAATATTACCTATAAACAAAAATGTTAGGTATTTCTTTTTGGTTTTGTTTTTTGAAAGAAAATACTTCAGCCCTGCCAGGCGTAGCTCAACAGTTGAGCATTGACCTAGGATCCTGGAGATCAAGGTTCAGTTCCCTGTCAGGGCACATGCCCGACTTGCGGGCTCGATCCCCAGCGGGGAACATGCAGGAGGCAGCCGATAAATGACACTCTCATCACTGATGTTTCTATCTCTCTCTTTCCCTCTCCCTCCCTCTCTCTGAAATAAATAAATATTTTTTAAAGAAAGAAAGAAAATACTTCATTCATAAATAACCACAGTTACTAATGAGATATGTGCAGCTGCTAGGGCACTGTATACCTTCTCAAATCTTGAGATGAACTTGGACACAACACCCTATTTCCTGCTTTTATTACAGAAACTGTAATAAATTCAGGTTTGTAAAGATATGATAGCATTGAAAGGAGTATAGCGCTGTCTAATATTGAAACTTGACCTTGAGGTAGTAGTTTGTGTAATGTATACCAGATAGCAGATATCATTGTTCTTTCCATAGATCTTTAAAATATCCTGCAGCACTCCTGTGAGATTACTCCAGGGCAACTGAGGATTTAGAAAATGTTTCCTCTGGTGACTTTAAAATAAGGATGGATAGTTGGTGTGTTGTGGGGTTTTGATTGATGGTATAACATTTTGAGTGGTCCACAGAAGATGACTTGGTTCAGTTTAGATATAAACTGTTTCTTCATGATTTGTCAGTAGACATCTTTATATTTGTAGAAATTACATAGAAAGGAGAAATTGTTTTGGTCTTAGGCATGTTTTTTAAAAAAATACATTTTTTTATTGATTTCAGAGAGAGGAAGGGAAAGGAGAGTGGGAGAGAGAGAGAAAAATCAATTGGCTGCCTCCTGAATGCCCCCTATTGGGGATCAAGCCTGCAGCCAGGGCATGTGCCCTGACTGGTAATTGAACCGATTACCTTTTGGTGCATGGCATTACGCTCAACCCACTGAGCCACACTGGCCAGGCTTAGACAGATTTGTTTTGTGTTGTCTTGTTAATTTTGAGAGGACACAACTAGTACCTAATGGTAATTGACTTAAAGCCCCTGGTATAACTGTTTCTAATTTCCCACTATGATACCACTGAAAAAGGACTACATAAATGCTCATACTACCAAATATTAAAATTGATTATTAAGCCTTTAACCAGAACTTGAAAGAAATGTCCATTACTTGCTGGTCTCTGATTTTAAAAACACACTTAATGGCTACCAGAAATAAAACAAGATCGCTTAATTGATTGTAGGCAGGACATTTTTTGGTCTATCACTTTGAGCCTCTACTTCAGAAGTCAGAATGTCTGTATCAACAGAAATCTGATCAGTTTTCCCAGTACTTTTTGAGGCCTCTGGTGTCCAGCTATCCATTCACATCCATAACTATACCATCTAGTTGGAGACATTAACTTTTTAAAAATGTTTTTATTGATTTCAGAGAGAGGAAGGGAGAGGGAGAGAGAGAAAAACATCAGTGATGAGAGAATCATTGATTGGCTGCCTCCTGCATGCCCTCTACTGGGAATTGAGCCCAAAACCCATGCATGTGCCCTGACTGGGAATCGAACCAGGACCTCCAGGTTCATAGGTCAATGCTTAACCACTGAGCCATGCCTGGCTCGAGACATTATCTTTGAGAAAAAATGGGCAGTGATGGGAGGAGAAAATGACTCAAGTGGGATGGTACATTGTATCCTGAGAAATAATGCTCCTGTAAATAAGGTACTAAATATATCAGTAAGATAAGAGATCTAGTAACTGTATATACTTGAGATTGTAGTTTTTCATGTTCTCCATCTATTCTGAGAATAAGGGAGTTGAGAATAGAAAACAATCCTCTCTCAGACCAGTAGAGTTACTCTAGATGAAAGCCTAGGCATTGTTCTAATAGTCATTGTCTATTAATGTGTTGTGCATCTATGGATATGCGAATGATCCAATTAGAGTTTGGGGCCAAGGACAAGTTACTGTTAGCAAATATTTGGGCCAAATAGGTTTCTCCTTAATTGAGAATGAATAAACAATTGACCCCATAAAATCCTTTAAAAAAAATACAGACAAGCAAAGGTAACAACATCCCAAAGAAACAGGTGTTAGAATTTACTTATTAGGACCAGTAACATTCATAAACAGTAAAAGACTTTAAAGCAAAAATTATTACTAAAGACAAGTCACTTTATAGTGATAAAAGAGTCAGTCCATTATCAAGAAGGTAAAACACATAAATATACATGCACCTAGTAACAGAGTCCTAAATACAAAAAGAAAAACACAGAATTAAAAAGAAAACAAAACATGAAAAGTAATTCAAACCAGTAGCAAAAATAATTCCATTATATGAAATGTGCAGAATAAGCAAGTTCATGTAGATAGAAAGTAGATTACTGGTTGCCAGGAGTTGTGGGTGAGGGGGAAATGGGAAGTATATGCTAAACTTGTACAGGGGTTTTTTTGAGGTAACAAAAATGTTCTGTAATTAGATAGCAGTGCTGGCTGTGATTGTACTAAGAACTACTGAATTACATACTTATTTAAGTGTTTTGTGAATTATATCTCAATTCAAAAAAAAAGCAGCAGGAATGAACAAATGAAGGAAAGACTGCCTGAAAATGTAAAGATTTGGAAGCAGATTTAAAATACATTTTGCAGGCAATAAAGAGTAAACTTAATGTGAAGGAAATTGAAGTGGTGATGAGTACAAACTTGAGAAATTCTCCAAAAATACAGAGGAAAAAGAAGACGAGAAACATAAGAATCACAGCTATTTAGTAAACCAAACCAAGAATTATATCTATAGCTGAAGAAGAAAGCAGAACAGTGTGAACAAAAGTAATATCAAAGCCTGAATGGAGGAAATCTTAAGTCTCCTGAAAACGGGAACACAGTATGAAGATTGAAAGTTATGCGATCCAGGCAAAGATCAGTAGAAAGAGACTGACATACATACTAGAAAAAGATTTTGAGTTAGAATGAAAGGAAAAAATTACATAAACATATAATTGTTGTTTTTATTTTTTTTAAATATGTCTTTATTAATTTCAGAGAGAGGGAGAGAGAGAGAGGGAGATACATCAGTGATGAGAGAGTCATTGATCGGCTGCCTCCTGCGCATCCCCAACTGGGGATTAAGCCCATAACCCAGGCTCTGCATGATGTTTTAACTTATATTCTGACTTTAAACTCTAAATTCCTTTTAAAATGTATCTCTACTTGAGTGAATAAAAAGATAGGAGACTATGCATTGTGATCCCAGAATATATTCACTTAGAAAGATATATAACCAAAATTTGGTTGTTTTTTGTGTGTGTTTTGTTTGTTTTTTAATTATTTTCTGCATACTTCACTGAATTTTCTAAGGTAACCAGGTTGATTTTTATTTTTTTTTAAGGTGACAGAAAGCTTTCAGCTTATGTTCATTTGTTTTTTTCAATCAAACGGTTTTAAAGCTCTTATTGTGTTCCTGGCAGATACTGTGTGCTAGGTGCTATTTTTACAGGGGTGTGGAAAATAAACATGGCCCCATGCTCACTTCGGCAGCACATATACTAAAATTGAAACAATACAGAGAAGATTAACATGGCCCCTGCACAAAGATGACACCCAAATTCGTGAAGCGTTCCATATTTTAAAAACACCATCACATGGCCCCTATGATCCTGGAGTGTATGTTAAAGTGGAGAGAGATTAAACAAATAGACCACAAATAAGTACATTACAAATGATGAGTGTTAAGAAACTAAAGAGTCCTAAGAGAATAATAAGAGGACCCAGTTTAGTTTTAGGAGCTCATGAAGAATTTTCCAAAGGAAGAAGAAACATTTGAGCCGAGACCTGGATGATAAAGGTGAGTTAGGAAGGCAGAGTGGAGAGTGAGAGTGTTTGGGCCAGAGGGAGCAACAGTATGGCCAAAGCTACTGAAGCAGGAGAGTTTAATGCACTTGACAGTTGAGAAAAAGGCAGGGTAGGTAGAGCAGGGTGGCAGCTAGATATGGTTAAGTAAAGGTAGGTCCAAGATCATGCAGGGTCTTGTAAAACCATATTGAAGCACTTGAATTTTATTCTGGTAGGCAGCTGTGGTTTGATTTACATTTGTAAAATTTACCCTGGGGAATGGCTTGTAGGTGGGAAGACTGGGAGCCATAGTGGGGGAGGGTCAAGAAGTGGAAGTGAGGGCACCAGTTCGCTGGAAGGCTGATGCAGTGTCAGTGCCAGAGATGGGAGTATGTGGGATTAGAGTGATGGCGTACAGACGGAGAGAAGTGCGTACCGTCAGCTTACTTTTAGGAAATAGTTCCTCCCAGACTTGGTGGTAGGTTACGGTGGCGGGTGAGGAGGTGAGAAAGATGCTCTCATGTCCAGGAGGAGCAAGCAACTGGGTGGGGAGAGAGGCGCCCTTTACTGAGATGCAGAGTCTGAAGAAGAAGCAGGTTTGAAAACGATCGAAATACCTGCTTTGGACATATTAAAATGCGATTCCTGTTCCACAGTCACATAGAGTTGTTAAATGTGCAACTGAATGTGGACAGTCAGTTTGCAGATGTTGAGGTTTATGCAAGGGCACCACAGAGAAGATGGCGCTATTTGCATCATAAATACATGCTGCTGTTTTATGAAAACGCATAGTGGGCATGAAGGTTCCAGATCTCCTTAGAAATTTGGAGCAATATTGTTAACTCTCTTCCTGCCTCAAACTTACACATCCGATAGCTGTGTACAGACGCAAGAAATAAGTACAGGTACACGCATTGGCATACATACATGTATGTGGCTCTACTGTCTTTCAGCTGCCTCTCAGCACCACTGAGACTGATTCTCTTGCTCATCTACTCGCTGCTCTCAGGAACTTAATTGTTCCCCACCTGACTGAACCTGACATTCTCTCGGAGAATGAAAGTTCGTAGTAAGAGTGTGCATGTGTGTGCTGCTGCCAGAGTGTGTTTGCTGTTTATCTGGAAGTAGTTGTGAGGAGAGTGACCCCCATGTATAGTTGTTTGTATTATACCATAGTATATAATAACAGTATTTTTGTAACTAAGGAGGGGACTGTTATTCTAATTTCTTCAAAAGATGCTGTAAGGGCTGGCTCTGTCTTGAATGCTAGAATCCGAAGCTCGGAAGAAAGGTTCCACTTAGAGATATATATTTGTTGCTCATCAGCATATAGGTAGTGTTCCATACATCGGTAATCTGTGATTTCACCCAGGATTTGGGCACCCAGGATTTGAAGAAAGCTCAATTTTGACCCCTTGTGGAACTATGACAGTGAGAGATTTGGTAGGAGAAAAGATATGAGGGATTTGCCACAGAGGTAGGATGCAAACCAGAGAAAGTGATACCACGGAAACTGAGAAGATCCAAATATAATTGGTACTATGGCCCGTAAGGTTTAGTAGGGTCTTTGCAATCTGTCTTGAAAAATTCTTCATGGCTTATTAATATTTGTATTGTACTGATGATACTGATACTTACCCAGCTTTTATTGCATATTCATTTTATGTGCTCAGAAAATGCGTGAAGTACAGAATTCCAGATTTGAAAGAAAACACATTTTTGTAGATGATAATTCTAAAGTTACTACAAACTCTTACATGTCCACAGATGTTCTTTTGCTGCTTATATGTGGCATAGATAAACTTTTATCAGTAGGAATAGAACATTAAAATTAAAAAAAAAATAAAATTAGTTTTAATTTGTGTATTTATTATTACATAAAAGGTTCCTTTCAGTGTTTTGTCTCTTGTATTGTTAGATTAATCTTCCTAAAACATAGCTGATTATATTTCTCTTTATTTAAAAAATCTTAACAATGTTGCATTTCACTTACAATAAAATTTACATTCTTTGGCTTGGGATTCCATGTCCTGCTGAATTTTGTCCCAAACAGTTATTTTTTAATATTTCACACCACTCTCTTTAATGTATTCTATAATCTAGCCAGAGCACAAATGTGTCTGCTGTTCTTACGTACTCTTGGCTTTCCTGCCTCCTTGTCTACTAATGCTATAACCTCTGCCTAAAATGTCTTTATTCCTTCCTCTGTGTTTTTCAAACAGCCTACTTATTTCCCAAGGTACAATTTTTTTTCACCTTCCTGTGAAAACCTTCCTGAGCTGGAAATTGTCTCCTTCCTGAATTAGTCTACTTTATATGTCTCCTCTTAATGTCATTTGCTTCTTAACCTTGTATTGCAATTTATTGTAAGTGTCTGACACTTTCGTTAGCTTCTGATTACTGTACAACACTCCCATTGTAGTGCTTTTTTTTTTTTTGAAGTGGTTTAAGAGGTAAATTTTTGTCTTTCTTCAGCTTCATGCCTATATTTGTGTTAATTGTACTACTTTTCCATTTTTCTTAGGATCCAATGATGCCATTGCTCCAGATTTCCCGGCTCAGGTGCTAGGCACTAGAGACGATGACCTAGAATTCACTGTTAATATTAAACATAAAGAGGGGATCTACAGTAAGAGGGCAGTATCTAAGGCATCCTTATCAAAGGGGGGAAAAAACATTCAGAAAGATAATACAGGTAACTGGATTGGCTTTATATATTTTGTGTGCCCTATTCATCCTAAATGAGAATACTATTCAGTCTTTATCTTTTTCTGCTTTGTTATACACACTGTTAGCTATTTTATTGGGGATATAGAAAAAGGTAAAATATTTATAAAATCTTTTTAAATACTTCACAGATTTTTGAAACCTGTAAACTTTATTTTTACTATGGAAAATAAAATATGTTGCGATTTTTGAAATAAAATATAACCAGTCAAGTATGTTTTAGAGACTAGAATCCATAGAAAATCTTGATTAAATTACCTGATGAGTTTATCTGTCAGAAGATACAAACTAGTGGCAATTTGGTAGACGTAGATAACCCTGTGACAAACAATTGAGGATGGGGAGGATATGGAAAATTTGGCAGGGAACAAAGTGATAGAATAAGGGAACACTTTCAGAAGTCTGCACAAAGTACTCACCAACTATAACTCACTCTTAGGCTGCATTTGGTAAGGATGATGTGTTTGAAATAAAGTTGGGCTCTGTTACCTAAGGGACCTCTATAACCTCCCACCTGTTATGGGTGTCTACTAATACTATTATTGTTGTTCTTCATTTAAACTTTGCATCCTAAGGAAAAGTCCTCCCAACTTAATCCTATGCAGCCATTTCACCATGGGAAAAGTTCAGTCTCAGAACCTCTTACCTTAAAGGATTGTAAAAGATAGGGGGAGATGCTTGCCTGAAGAAATAGTGACCTGTGTAAAATAGCTAAATGAACTCATAAAATATATCAGAAGTAAATGTTTCAGTTGAAGGGATGGAATATAAAAGTGAGAAAATCTCTTAGAAAATAGAACATAAAAAGAAGGGAAAGAAAGGGGGAAAAAAAGAAAATTCAAGATTGGCCCAAAAGGTTCAACATCAGAAATGTGTTCCAAAGAGACAATAGAGAATCAATTCATTAGAGCCACATATATTAGTGTGAATAAATCCCCAAATCATAATATTGAGTGAAAAAGGCATGCTGCTTAAAGCTACATAGAGTATTATACCATTTATATAAAGTTTAAAGACATGCAAAACAATCCTGTATATTGTTAATTAATTTATACAATATAGTAAATAAAATAAAAACATCCTTGACATTGATAAACTCTAAATTCAGTATAAAGGTTGCTACTGAAAAGAGAATGGCCTCATTGAGGCTTTATACACAGAATCATTATAATCATTATTCAGTAATATTTTATTTTTTAAGACATACTGGTGTTCATTATGTTATGTTTAATAATCTCTATTGACTTTCTGATTTTTTTTGTTGAGAAATATTCATACTTAGAGATAGCAAATGAATTTCTTGTCAACCCAATGTAAAAACATGTAACCATTATTAACAAATGCTTTATCTTCGTTGTATTGGTGATTTTTTAATGTATTTACTAACATATTACTTTGCACTATTTTTTCTCATATAAAAAATCAAGAGCTGATTTTAAAAGACAAATAAAATAGCTAAATCTCTATCAAGTATGACCAAGGAAAACAGAAACAGAAAGGGTTAGACAAGTTTAAAAGGATGTGACTTAAGAAGATTTTTAAAGTTATATGAGTACTATATATAAACTGTCCATGATATAAATGCTTTTCTAGGATTATATGAAATATCAAAATTGGCTCTATAAGTAATAAAAACTTTGAGTAGGCAAAAGAACTTGAAAGGGTTGTTCAACTATACTTTTCTACTTTGAAAAAGATACCTGATCTAGTTTTTTTTCTTCATTGTTGTATCAAACCACAAGGAACAGATTTTAGTGATACTTCATTTGAACCATTGTTGTACAAAGAAAAATAAGGAAAGCTTTCCAATTTATGTCATAAATCCAACATAACTGTCACAGATTTTACATGGTGGGGCCTAAGAGGTGCTTTTTTTCTGATATATATAATGAGGTTTGGGGTTTTGTCTTTGGGGGGTTGTGGGGCAGATAGGGTTACTTGCCATGTGTGTTTATTATCTTTTCTTTCTCTGTGGTGTCAAATGATATCGTTATTTCAGATGCTCAGGTTCAAGTTCTTATCACTGGAAATGAGAACCTCTCAGACAAAAACCAGAAAAAGGAGATCTACAGTAAAAAGGCAGTGACTAAGCCTGCCCAAGCTAAAGAAATGGAAGTCTTGCAGAAAGACACTGGAGGTAGCTGAACTGGATTATCTGCATATTATTTTCTTCTGGCCTTCTAAAATGAGAATAGATAGAACAGTATTCTCTATTCTCTTCTTGCTCTTTCATCTTGCTCATATGTGAAGTAAGATACTAGCTGTAATTTTTGTTATACGTTGACAGGTATAAAACCAAGTGTTTAATGAAACATTTTTAAAGCTCTTTGATACATTTCTGGAGAACTTTGTGAATGTAGTACACAAATTAATTTCATTGACAGAAATTCACTTAATGGACTTTTTGAAAACATTCAGTGCCACAAAATGCTGACTTTCTGACACCATTGTTTATATAAGTCTGTGTGCTTTAGGAATTTAGCTTGTTTACCTTCTTAACTACCTATCCAGTTAATTTTCTTCAGTGGGACTATGCTGATTAAAAATGCCTATAGTGTGTTTAAGTTAGGGTGAGTTTTGGCTCTGAGAGATGAAAACAACAAAATAACATTGGCTTAAAGAAGGCAGGAAATTGTCTCTCTTTCTTGTAAAAATCCAGAGATAGACATCCAGGGGTGACTTGGTACTTCAGAGTATCAGGGCACAAAGCTCTTTCTCTCCTGTTGCTCTAACATTGTTAGCCTCCATTCTCATGCTGTAGCCATCTGGCTCACATTCCAGCCAGCAGAAAGGAAGAAAGGAAAAGAAAAAAGCATATTCCTTCTTTAAAATACTTCTCAGTAGTTACATGTACTGTTCCCCTTCCATCCTACTGGACACACTTAGTCACATCGTCACACCAAGCTATGTTGCCACAGAGTCTGGGAAATATCTTTATTCTGGTAACTATATGCCCAGCTATGTTGGGGTTCTGTTTTAGAGGAAAAAGGAAACTGGATTTCAGACGACACCTTGCAGTCTGCTACCATGTAAACAGAAATATATCTTTTGGAGGATAATTGTGTATTATGCTCTTTAATTGTGTATTACTTTTTTTTCAAATTTATATTATATTCTGGTCAACACTTCAAAAATTTATCCCCCTTTTGAATATTCCAAAAGCAGTTTTGATGATGTTACTCTACTAATCAAAAAGTTTTCATTGCCCTTAAGAATAAAATCTTAACTTTTAGCGTAGTCTTTCAGAACAATAGAATCAGCTCCAAAACAGCTTTTCAAAAGCCAATTTTATCTCTCTTCTTTATAAATTCTGTAGTCAAACTATATATTTGCTCTATTTCTTAGATGTTCAGTTGCTTTCCTGACTCCGTTCTTTTCTAATATAGTCACCTCTGCCTAAAATGGCCTTCCTCTTTCCATTTCAGTCTGTATTCCAGCTCAGCTATCTTTTAACACCAAGCTTAGTTAACTTTCCTTTGAGTGCTTATACTTCTTTATCTTTCTCTTATGGTGTAATTCTTTTATTTTGTATGATGTCTATTTTTATACATTTTTTATTTTTTTTAAATATATTTTTATTGATTTCAGAGAGAGGAAGGGAGAGGGAGAGACAGATAGAAACATCAATGATGAGAGAGTCATTGATCGAACCCACAACCCGGGCATGTGCCCTGACTGGGAATCGAACCCCGATCGCCTGGATCCTAGGTCAGTGCTCAACCGCTGAGCTACACCCGGCCGGGCTATACATTTTTTTTAACTCCAATGTAGAGCAACAGTTTCTAAACACATTCTTGATTGATCTTTTTATTTTTTCTTCAACACCAATAATAATGCCCTTCATAGTAGATGCTGGAGAAGTATTTTAAAATATTTTTTGTCAACTTCCTGTCTGGATAGGGTATTAATTGCCCTCTCTTAGGTTCCAGTGATGCAGTTGCTGCAGAGCTGTCAGCTCAACTACAAGGCCCAAAGATTAAACACTTACCAGACACTAAAGCCATTCAACAGAAGGAGGAGATCCATAGTCAGAGGACATTTCCTAAGGAAGCCTGGTCAGAAGATAAGGAATCCTTGCAGATAGATATTGAAGGTAATGGGATTGGGATGTGTGTGTGGGAGGGTTGGGAGTGCTATGTCTGTTCTCTTTTCATTCTGATGAGAATATAACCTCATGATTTAAACAGATCCATTTTTTCTTTTTTCACTTTCTTATGTGAACTTCAGTGCTACTTTGTTTGGATGTACATATTGATTTGTAAAATAATTGTTACTTCTGGGAAAAGATATTGGCAACTTAGAAACAAGATTATAAATAAATACCTAAGGCAGATAGTATTACAAGTGAAGTATCATGTCTCAGTACTGACACAGGGGAAAACCTAAAGGTATTCCAGAAGACTAACAAAGAAAGAACCTTAATAGAAACTTTTAAAAAATTACAGTAAAAGAGAGCCAAGACCATATCTATTTATGTTTACTCATGGCCCCTTTTAAGTCTTAACAAAAGAAAGGCATTGAGTACACAAGCCATTACTACCTGGCTGTCAAACTTTACCTCTTAGAGGAAGATAGCACAGTACCCAAATAAGGAAAGAAAGGAGTCAAGGAGCTATAATCTATCCATATTGTATTTTCAAAATAGTGCAGGTACAGCTGATCACATCAAGAATGTATAAGATAAATGATTTTCCACAAGGGTGCCAAAACTGCATAGTGGGGAAAAAACATTCTCTTCAGCAAGTGGTGTTGGAAAACTGGATATCCATGTGCAAAAGAATGAAGTTGGATGCTTACCTTTTACCACATTTAACTCAAAATGAATTAAAGATCTAAACATAAGAGCTAAAATTATGAAACTGTTAGCAGAAGTCATAGGGGGAAAGCTCCATGGCCTTGGATTTGGCAGTGATTTTTTGGATATGACACCAAAAGCACAAGCAACAAAATAAAAAAATAAAAAATAAGTTATACTACACCAAATTAAAAACTGCATCAAAGGACAGTCAATAGAGTGAAAAGGCAACCTGTGAAATGGGAGAAAATATTTGTAAATCATGGTAAGTGCTTAATATCCAGATTATATATGGAACCTTTATAATTCAACAACAGAGAAACCCAATTTAAAAATGGGCAAAGGATTTGAATAGACAGTTCTCCAAAGAAGATATATGAATGACAAATAAGCACATGAAGAGATGCTCAGTATCACTCATCATCAGAGAAATGCCTCTTAAAACCACAATGAGATACCACTTCACACTGATTATGATGGCCACTGTCAGAACAAAATAACAATTGTAGGCAAGGATGCAGAGAGATTGGAACCATTGTGTACTGTTGGTAGGAATATAAAAGGGTGCAGCCATTGTGGAAAATAGTGTGGAGGTTCCTTAAAAAATAAAAAAATAGAATTAAGCATATAATCTACCAATTCCACTTCTGGGTATATATCTAAAAAAATCAAAGCAGATCTTATAGATAGGTACACACTTACATTCTTCTCAGCATTATTCAAGTTAATCAAGATATTAAAACCCAAATGTCCATCAACAGGTGAATATATATATATATATATGTTGATATATATATATAGAGAGAGAGAGAGAGAGATTTTAGAGAGGAAGAAACACTGATTTGTTGTGCCGCTTACTTATGTATTCATTGGTTGATTCTTATATGTGCCCTGAACGGGTATCAAACTCACAACCTTGGGGAATTGGGGCAATGCTGTAACCAACAGAGCTACCTGGCCAGGGCAGATTGTCTTTTTATACTTTGGACATAAAAGCAGATTTCATGTGTCTTATTATATTTTAGGGAAATTGCCTTAACGATTCCCAGAGTATTTAATGAAAACTCTAGTTGCCAGTAATCTATACTGTAGGTGAAAGGGATCCCATAGTTACAAGTGTTACTTGTTGCATGCATGTATACGTCTTTGTTTCTACCCATGACTTGGAACTCCAAAAATATATATTGATTCTATATTACTATGTACAGTTTTGGTTTATGATTGTAAGATGTTATTACATCTAAAAATGCCCATTTTGACATAGAATAATGACTGTCAAAAGTGAATTTAGAGGATGGTAAATTTTGTATTAGGTATATTTTACCACAAGAAACAAAATTGGAGGGAAAAAATGTAAAGATGGCTCACAGAAAGGAATTTTAAGAGGCTCTAGAACATACAAAGAGTTTTTCTTTTTTATCCCGCACATTTAGTTACTGATGATGAAAATGAATTCTCAGGTTTCTTAGCTGAAAGAGGGGCTAATAATACCTGTCTCTCAGTTTTATCAACATGATTGAATAAAAAGGGGGGGAAAAGATATAGGGCACATATAATAGCCCACACATAGCAAGCAGTTAATACAAAGCAGCTACTGTTACAGTCCAGAGGACTAAAGTACATTTCTTGAGGTCACACAGCCAGTTTGTGGCAGAGTCCCTCCCAGAATCCAGGTCTTCTGACCCTGAGCCTCTTAAATGTTTACCATACCAGTCTGGCCACTAAGCACAAGGCATGAATCCTTTGTTTAGGCGGTGAATTTTCTGAAACTTTATATATAAACTGTTCTTTTCTTCTATATCTAAAGAATTAAGTGTGAATATGATTTCTAAAGGGAATGAAAATATTTTGAAAGTCCTCCAAAATCTTTTTTTCCTCTCTCCTTTTCAGAGTCCAGATGTCATTCAGAATTTGAAAATACTACCCATTCTGTGTTCAGGTCAGCCAAGTTTTACTTTCATCACCCAGTGCACCTACCAAGTGATGGAGATTTTAGCCACGAATCCTTAGGGAGAAGTGTTTTCATGAGACATTCTTGGAAAGATTTCTTTCAGCATAATCCAGACAAACAACATACTTCTCTTCCTCCCCCTTATCAAAATGAAGAAAAGACTAAGACAGATTATGCCAGTATAGAGAGCCTCAGTATCAATGTGAACTTGAAAAACAAAGAAGTGATTCATCCTACTAAAAATCAAGCTGGAGATTATGCAAAATGTGACAGACAAGTTAATGATCAAAAGAAAGATCTTAAGGTCACCCCAGAGCCCACAACTCAGCATATTACAAGTTTGAATGCTCTCTGGAATAAGTATCAAGAGCGTCAGAAGCAACAGAAACCTCTAGGGTTCAGTGGTGGGAAAGAACTATCCTTGGTGGAGCGACTTGATCGTTTAGCTAAACTTCTTCAGAATCCCATCACACATTCTCTTCGGCCCTCAGAAGGTACACAGGATCATAGCAGAGGGCAGCAAGATGCTAAGGAATGGAGTGGTGGACAGCAACAGCAGAGAAACAAGCTTCAGAAAAAGAAGCGGTATAAAAGCTTGGAGAAATGCCATAAAAACATAGGCGAGCTTAAAAAAAGCAAGGTGCTTTCTACTCATCAAGCTGGCAGGTCCAATCAGATTAAAATTGAACAGGTTAAATTTGATAAATATATTCTGAGAAAACAGCCAGATTTTCCTTATATAAACAATACTTCTTCAGATTCTAGACCCTCAGAGGACAGTGAGCTGCTCACAGATACTGCCACCAACATCCTGTCCACCACAACTTCTCCTGTGGAATCAGATATATTGACCCAAACAGATAAAGAAGTGACTTTGCATGAGAGGAGCAGCTCTATTTCCACCATTGACACTGCCCGATTGATCCAGGCTTTTGGCCATGAAAGAGTTTGTTTGTCACCCAGGCGAATTAAATTATACAGCAGCATCACCAACCATCAGAGGAGATACATTGAGAAGCGGAGCAAGAACAAGAAGAAAGCACTGAGTACATGTTATCCCCAAATGACTTCTGAACACACCAGAAGGAAACGCATCCAGGTACATGGCTACAAATTGCATCTGGCAGTGTGACTGCCTTTTTCATGGACTTCTTAGTTAAGCTTTGCACACAGGTGAAAAAAAGCCATTTGCCCTTTCCTCACTATAACATTCCTTACCAACTGGAAAAGAGTGAGAAAGTGTAGTACAGTGCTCTTGTGAGTTGTCATTCTTTTCATCAACATTCATTTACAAATTATCCTTTGGTTGAAGGGCTTTGCTGCTGACTGCTTCAGAATTTGCAAAGCATATCCCTGGCACAGGGGAGGCTTGAGTTTAGAAAGACCTCCATTCTGAACAATATTGCCTGGGGGTTTTTTGCTTGTTTTTTGTTTATTCATTTCTACCTGTCTTTCAAGAAATGTTGAGTTGCTTTTAAACACACACACACACACACACTACCATATGATTTTTTAAAAGTAAATGAAGAATTTGAATGAAAGAAAATTATGGAAGCCAGAGAGGGGTGAGGTACAACATGACTTTTAAAAATAAATGAAGAATTATGAGTTATGGGAAGAAAAGTTGATGCTAGAGGGGAGATAAGATATACCTTGTAGGTATGGTTGTAAGCCACAAATTTTGCTTTGTTTTCTACCAGTTAGTGTTCCTAGAATTTTGTAATCAGTCACGAGTCTATAATATAAATATGAATTTTCAAAAGCATTACATATATCTGGTACTAAGACCTAAGAGAAATTTACTCATCTTTCCTCATAAAGAAGGCACCACAGTGTAACAGAGTCCTCAGCAGCATCCTTACAGTAGGTTCAATAGCAATGCCTGTAAGGCTAATGACCTTATTACGGAGCTCAGTAAAGGCAGTTTTCAAGGGGTCAACAAATATAAGTACTTTAACCCAAGAATAAAATTTAGGGTATCTAGAGAAGTGCTCTACAAAGAGTGATGTTTGCAAAATGGTTTTTTGGAGTATAGAAAGGAAAATATTAGATTTACATTTTTCTCAAACTTTTAAAATATATTTTATATATGTTTATACTATATGAGTGCAGTAGTAATATATAATTTATAGTTATAAATACAGGGTGGGGCAAAAGAAGGGTTACAGTTCATACAGAAAATACAATAAATAATAATAATACAAGAATGAACTGTTTCATGTACTCACAAATGTAACTCTACTTTTGCCAACCCTTTAAATATCAACTTTGGTAATTTATGCTCAAAAATATTGCCTGGCTGGGTGGCTCAGTTGGTTGAGCATCATCCATACACCAAAAAGGCTGTGGATTCAACTCCCCATTAGGCACATACCTAGATTGCTGGTTTGACCCCCAGTCAGGGTGCAGAAGGAAGGCAACCTATCAATGTTTCTCTCTCTCTCAAATCAGTCAGAAAAATATCCTCAGGTGAGGATTAAATATATATATGTGTGTGTGTGTATTTTATCTGTAGGACCACATGATCACATAATTTAGAGACTGATAGTCTAGACAAAAGAAGACACAAGACAGCCAGTTTACCATAAATATTATAATTGAGGTTTGGTAGGTATTAAATGACAGTGATTACATAAATAAATAGTACAATATGACTTTATTTTTTAAGTAAAAATAATTGGGAATGGCACAGAGTAAGGCTTTTTGTTCCATAGAGGAGATAGGGAAAAGGATCCGGGTAGAGGGATTTTTGTGTGTGTAGTAAAATACATACACATAACAAAGTTTATCATTTTAATCATCTTAAAGTGTACAGTTTAGTGGCACTGAGTACATTCACAGTGTTTTATAGCCATCACCACTATCTAGCTTAACTTTTCATCACCCCAGTGGAAACTTCATATGCATTAAGCAATCTCTATTCCCTCTTCCCTACAGTCCCTGACAACCACTTAACTTTCTTGTTTCTGTGAGCTTGCCTGTTCTGGTTATTTCACATAAATGGAATCATACAATATGTGACCTTTGTGTCAGCTTTCTTTCCCTTTAGCTTAATGTTTTGGGGGTTCATCCATGTCCTAGCATGTATCAGTATTTCTTTGCATGTATATACCACATTTTACTTATCCATTCATCCATTCATGGACATTTGGATTGTTTCCACCTTTTAGCTGTTATGAGTAGAGCTGATATGAACATTTGTGCACAAGTGTTTTTTTGAATACCCATGAACAGGCCTTTTGAGTATATATCTAGGAGTGGAAATACTGAGTCATGGTGATTCTGTGTTTGGCTTATTGAGGAGCTGCCAAACTGTTTTCCAGTGTGCCCAGGTTGTGAGTTAGATCTCTCGTCCAGGTGCGTATGGGAGGTGACCTATCAATGTTTCTCTCTCACATTGATGTTTCTCTCCCTCTTCCCCTCTCTCTAAAATCAGTAAACAGCCCTGGCTAGCGTGGCTGAGTGGTCAGAGCATCAGCCCATGCAGTAGAGGGTCCCAAGTTCGATTCCCGGCCTGGTCAGGAAGCGTGTGGGAGGCAACCAACCAATGTGTGTCTCTTGTCAATTTTTCTCTGTCTCTCCCTTCCTTCCTCCCTCCCACACTCTCTTAAAAAAAAAAAAAATCAATGGGAAAAGTAATCCTCAGGTGAGGGTTAACAAAAAATAAAGTAAAATAAAATCAATAAACATATCCTCAGGTGAGGATTTTTTAAAAAAATCTAATATTTGCTAATCTGATGTGTGAAAAAGCTCATTGCTTTAAATTGCCATTTTTTAATATTAGGTTTCAAGGATTGTCATTACATTTCTTATTTTGAGAATTACCTTGTTTACTCTGTCCATACTTCTCTGAAGATTTTTTCCTATTAATTTTTAAGCATTAATTATAATGTATTAATATCATAATACAGGCATACCTCAGGAATATTGTAGGTTCAGTTCCAGACAACTACAATAAAGCAAATATCAAAATAAAGAAAGTCATGAATTTTTCGGTTTCCCAGTGCATGTAAAGGTTATGTTTATATTGTAGTCTACTAATTGTGCAAAAGCATTATGTCTAAAAATACAATGTACATGACTTAATTTAAAAATATTTGATCACTAAAAAATGCTAACCATCATCTGAGTATTCAGCAAATCCTAATCTTTTCGCTGATGGAGGGTCTTGCCTCGATGTTGATGGTTGCTGACTGATCGGGGTAGTGGTTGCTGAAGGTTAGAATGACCCTAGCAGTTTCTTAAAATAAGACAACAATGAGCCTGGCTGGCATGGCTCAGCATTTGAGCATTGACCTATGATTTAGGAGATCGAGATTCGATTTCCAGTCACGGCATATGTCCAGATTGCGGGCTCGATCCCCAGTAAGGGGCGTGCGGGGGCAGCCGATTAATGACTCTCTCAGCATTGATGTTTTTCTCTCTCCCTCTCCCTGCCTCTCTCTGAAATCAATAAAGACATTTTTTTTTTTTTAAAAAAAGACAACAATGATTGACGCTTTACCCACAGTAGAACTTTCAGAATTGTAGTCAATCCTCAAACCCTGCTGTTGCTTTTATCAACAAAGTTTATGTAATATTTTAAATCCTTTGTTGTCATTTCAACAGTCTTCACAGCATCTTCACCAAGGAGTCTATTCCATCTCAAGAAACCTTTCTTTGCTCATCCATAAGAAGCATATCTTCATCGGTTAAAGTTTTATCATTAGATTGCAGCAATTTAGTCACATCTTCAGGCTTCACATCTAATGCTAGTTCTCTTGCTTTTCCCACCATATCTGTAGTTATTTCCTCCACTGAATTCTTGATCCCCTAAGTTGTTCATGAATTTTGGAATCAGCTTCTTCCTAACTCCTGTTAATATTGATATTTTGACCTTTCCATAAGTCAGATATTCTTAATGGCATCTAGAATGATGAATCTTTCCAGAAGGTTTTCATTTACCCCGATCCATCAGAAGAATCACTGTCTGTGTAATCTATAGCTTTACTAATGTATTTCTTTAAGAATTAGACATTATTAAAGTCAAAATTACTCCTTGGTCTATGGACTGCAGAATGGATGTTGTGTTAGCAGGCACGAAAACATTAACCTCATTGTACATCTCCATCAGAGCTCTTTGGTGACCAGGTGCATTGTCAGTAAGCAGTATTATTTTAAAAGTTATCTTTTTTCCTGAGCTTAGGTCTCAACAGTTGGCTTAAAAAGTTTTTAGTAAACCATGTTGTAAACAGATGTGCTATCATCCAGGCTTTGTTGTTCCATTTACAGAGCATAGGCAGAGTAGATTTAGCATAACTCTTAAAAGTCCCGAGGGTTTTTTGAGCTCATTGTCTTCAACTTAAAGTCAGCAGTTGCATTAGCCCCTAACGAGAATCAGCCTGTCTTTTGAAGCTTTGAAGCCAGAAATTGACCTCTTTAGCTGTGAAAGGCTTAGGTAATATCTTCTTCCAATATAATGCTCTTTTGTCTATATTGCAAATCTGTTGTTTAGCATAGCCACCTTCATTGATTTTCTTAGCTAGATCTGGATAATTTTTCTCAGCTTCTAAATCAACACTTGCTGTTTGACCTTGCACTTTTATGTTTTGAAGATGGCTTCTTTCGCTAACTCTCATGAACCAACCTCTGCTAGCTTCAAACTTTTCTTCTGCAACTTTATCACCTTTCTCTGCCTTCACAGAATTGAAGAGAGTTGGAGCCTTGCTCTGGATTAGGTTTTGGCCTAAAGGAATGTTGCAGCTGAGGTAACCTATCCAGAAAAACTTTCTCCATATCAGCAACAAGGCTATTTTGCTTTCTTAACATTCGTATGTTCACTGGAGTAGCACTTTTAATTTCAAGAGCTTTTTCTTTGCATTCACAACTTAACTGGTCCTAGAGACCTAGTTTTCAGCCTATCTCAGCTTCAACATGCCTTTCCTCACTAAACTTAATTCTAGCTTTTGATTTAAAGTGAGAGATCTGCAACTCTCACTTGAATGCTAGAGGCCATTGTAGGGTTATTAATTGGCCTAATTTCAGTATTGTGTCAGGGAATAGGGAGACCCAAGGAGAGGGGGAGATGGGGGTACTGCTGGTGAATGGAGCACTCAGAAC